ACACAACATACTCTCAGTGTAAATGTCTTAAGACAGACAACACAACAACATACTCTCAGTGCCAATGTCTTAAGACAAACAACAACATACTCTGTGTAAATGTCTTAAGACAAACAACACAACATACTCTCAGTGCCAATGTCTTAAGACAGACAACACAACAACATTCTCTCAGTGTAAATGTCTTAAGACAAACAACACAACATACTCTCAGTGTAAATGTCTTAAGACAGACAACACAACAACATTCTCTCAGTGTAAATGTCTTAAGACAAACAACACAACATACTCTCAGTGCCAATGTCTTAAGACAGACAACACAACATACTCTCAGTGCCAATGTCTTAAGACAGACAACACAACATACTCTCAGTGTAAATGTCTTAAGACAGACAACACAACAACATACTCTCAGTGTAAATGTCTTAAGACAGACAACACAACAACATACTCTCAGTGTAAATGTCTTAAGACAGACAACACAACAACATACTCTCAGTGAACAGTCATTTCTGAGATTCAGCTCGATACTGGGAGAAACAGGCCAGTCATAACAATGTTGCAAAGGCTGCACAACCACCAGATTTCTCCAGTAGAGCAAATGTATATCTGAAACATGACAACTGATCAGGGACATCCTACTTTAAGTGGTCTGATTCACAAACTAGGTTCACAAGTGTCTGTATGTGCTTTCCCTCCCCAATTACTCAGGTTAAACACAAAAGTCAACTGCCCTATAATGGAACTTTTGCATTACTGCTCAAAGCAATGCAAAACATCATTGGCTCATTAATGAAGCCAGTTAGCAGAAGACACAACAGACTGTTAAGTGTTGCTGTAGAGTTCTAGCAAAGCTACACATTTAGTGAAGTGGTTCTAGAACGTTTAGAAGACAGCTGTCTGTCTGTGCTGTAGCATAACTGTCACAACATGTCACACTCTTCATACCATTTCGAGAAACCAGACTGAGTTCAAAAAAATAGTAATATTTAAAATGTCAGCATCAATGTACGCCCAACAATCTGCAAACAATTACAGCTTTAACGTTATATCTTGAGAAAGATTATTGTAAAATGACGCATGTCTTTTACTGCAGATTTCATATCAGACGTATTGATGGTTCTGTTGTATTTGTCAATGAGTCCACTTTGAGAAAGGGTCCAGTGTTCAGTCCTGAGGTAGTTCAGTCAGACAGCGTCTTATTTAAGCTTCCAGAGACGATGATCACAATGATTTAGTGCTATGTTCCGGTGACAACAGCAGCCACGAGGAAAACACTCGGACGATGTCAACCCATTGTGTACGTTGTGTGTGACTTGAACATTAACTAAGGAGAAAATGGATATGTGGGAAGCTCTGAATAAACACAAACAATGAGCCCCACTACACGCGCCACCGTCTCACCGTGCGGACCAACACAAATAACATGGGCGTTTCTTGGTGGCTTAACAAGCTAACCACACTAGCTTTGTCAAACACCGAGAAGTGTCCCTCCAGTCGGCTCAGCTGCAGCTAGCATGGCTACCAACTTCCCACTGTCGTTACTCGCCCCACTCTTAAACACAAGACCAACACAGAGGTCAAAACAAGCCCGCTTCAACACGTGAAATACAATGGCTTCTCAGTGTACACTTACCTTTTATAACATTACTAAAAATCGTGGCTCTGAAGTCTTCTTTGGCCTTCTGATCGAAGTCCTGCCCGTGGATAATGCGCATCTGCTTGAGGAAAGTGGACTTGCCACTCTCGCCTGCCCCAAGTAATAAGATCTTTACTAACCTTTTTACATACGTCTTATCTCGATGAATACACTTATCTATCTCTTTAGACTTCCGCAACTGTTCTGCTTCGCCGCTTGTGAGGAGACAGTTAGGGAAACATGCAGATAAAACGGAGCGGGACGGCAGGAAATCCGCCATCTTTGAAACAACTTCATCGATACAGACAGCGAGGAAGGCTGAGCCCAGAGCTTCGCCACAGTCCGCTGTTGCGTTCACGTGTCGTGGGAAACCACTAACTCAACCTCAACAGAGTGGTTTAACCACCGCTTAGACGTTAAAACCTTTAGGTGGGCGACTGTGGCTTAATGGAGAGCAGGGTCGTCCTTCAATCAAAGGGCAAGACACTTAACCCCAAAATTGCTCCCGAGCTGTGCCTACGGCATGTGTGTGAATGTTAGTTGGTCCTGATGGCGTGGTAGCCCTACCATCAGCGTATGAATGGGTGAATGATGAGTGGTCGAAAAGACTAGAAAAGCGCTATACAAGTACAGTCAACAGTCCATTAAATTGAATTATGGCTGCACATATTCACATTAAACGTGTAAAATAGCGGGCGAGGGGCGCTCATGCTTCAATGTTTGGGCGGGTCGCACAGATCGCTGTAGCAACATTTCTCTCAGCATTGCTTCTGACTCAGTTGGACATATATTTCAGGACACCTTCTGCTGGCCGAATGGGCTTTCTATCAGTATTCCTGACATTGAAATGTGTTGTGTGTCGTATGCTTATGCGTATTTGCCTCATGCACAGCTCTTCAACCTCCAATGCCAAGGTACACTCGTGCAGTTCGGATCAGTGTATTAAAATCATGGCTGTGATCTTTTAATTTGATTTTAAAGCCACTGGGGGGCGAACGGGAGAACTTGTTCAGACGCGTGTTCTACGCCACAAACAAATCACTGTCCAGTGCGCTGTATCTCTTTCGATCCGTTGATCCATTTATTCCGTTGCACATTGACACCATATCATTAAATCAGCATTGTTCAATCTTACTTGTATCAATGCATCTTAATTGCTTAGTAACAGAACACCACAGGATACCACACGGCAGGATAGGACAACGCCTTGACACGGTCAAAAACTCATCACCAAGCACTTACCTATATGCACTTTTAGGTCGATGCGCCACCCTGTGTTCAATGTCAGAACTGCATGTCTAAATTCACCTTGTGTTTCCCTCAAAAATAAAATAAAACTACATCATGGCTCCAACATAAAGTATTCTTTTAAATTGCACATTTGATGATCATTTTACTTTTTTACTCAATTGTCTTTTTATATTGTATGCTTTAAGTGCAAAATAACAATACATAATTGTATTTTAATATGAACTATTAATCAGACATACTGCACCTCCATTTGCCCTATTTGCACTATTACCACCATTCTGCACTAATATCCCGAATCCATTGTCCATGGTCATTGTTGTTGTTCTTTATGCTCATATATATTCTTCGATATATATTTATATTGTACATAGTAGTTAAATGTTTATGCTTAGTTTCTCTGTCCTACTTTGTTGTTTGTAATGTCCTTGTTTTTATATTTCTCTTGTTTATTTGTATATTTTCTGTGTATGTAAGATAAGAGCAATGAGAAAACCGGAGTCAAATTCCATGTATGCCTACACATATGGCCAATAAAGCTGATTCTGATTAATCAAACCACCCAGAAATTGTTGGTGATTGTGGCACTCTTTAGCTTCCATACTTAGCCACCTGAATTGAATGTTAAAGCTAAGACGAGAAGATTGTCTTTCGCAGAGGTTAATTTAAGAACCACCCGACAGGCTTTTCTCTGTAACTGCTGGGGGCAGAGGCGTCCTCCAGCTGATTAGATAAATCCATCCTTCCCATCCTGTCCTATAATCCCCAGACAGGGGGAGTGTGTTGAAGTCCACTACATGCACACACTTCTCTGTCAGCAACTGTATATATTATAACTGGAGTATTTCACATCAGGATTTTCTTCAAACACCTGATTTGGTCTTCATCCGTCTGCAAATATGACAATTAGAACAGTCCGTCCAAACCGGGTACAACATTTCCGGCCTCGCACGCACTGCTTCAAAAAGGTGGGTGGATATCATCATCATCATCATCATCATCATCGGTATTATTTAGTACTCGCTGCTGGTATTTTATTTGTAATATTTTATCCCTATAGTAATCAGAAATGTAGACAACTTTTAAACATTACGAATATTTTATTTGTTTAAGATATTCTAAAGTTGAGTTACACTTAACATTTCTGGATTAAACTGAAGTTTGCTTTTATTGCATTCATAAATATGTAGCACAGACACAGCAAAAAACAACAAAACACATTTGAATGAGAATTACACATGATTTGCTGGCCACTAGCAGAGCGGGGGCTTATTAAAGATCATCCTTAATTCCCCTTTAAAGCCAATTAGCTCTGCTGCTCTGCTGCCAGGTGTCCCTGCAGGTGAAACATACTGTACAGTTTATCACCTGACTCACCTTGTATGCTCCTTAGTTGTTAATGTTAACTTCAAACTCACTAACAGGACGGGAGCAAATCTATAACAGAAAAAATCATAAAGTTTATTTGATTACAATACGAAAGGAGGAAGACAAATGGAGAACACTGCAAATTACACTGGAAATAAAAGATGAAATGATTGAAATACATCCTCCATAACTAACAAAAGAGAAAAGATCACTGAAAGCCTCCATACTGAAACACACATCACTGCATTACATTGTAAGGTGTTGCTAGTATCTTGTCCATTCCCTATATTTTTTGATAGTTTAGCTGTCAGATAGTTAAACCGATTGAACCGCATCGAATTTGAGAAAGTGATCATATGTTTGTGTGTGAAATCTTATAGTTTGTGATCATTTGTGTTAATTAAATGTAGTTAACGATTACAACATTTCCCTCTGAATTTTAGTGAGATAAATAAGTTCGGTATGTAAATACCTAAGTGCCTGAGAATAACACTAACTCTAATCAGATGTTAGTTACCTTAACAGAAGGAATGATAATGTTTTACATTAGGAAAGCAGTCCTCTTTCAATGTAGTACTTCATGGAAAACCTGCTCTCCTGATGAGGTGCATGCAGTCATTCATATGCAAGTACTTTGATTAGCAATTTGCATTCACTGGCAACATTGCGAGCCAAGTACAGGTGTGGTGGATGGAAGTGTGTACAATAGAAAGTGTCTTCAAGTGTCTGACAAACTTTTAACTAAAGGGGAGGAAGTTGCATGACTTTGAACTGACTGTGTGGCAATTTTGTGTTTATTTCAGTAATTGTGTGACTGAATCTCATTCACTAGCTTAAAGATGGGTCCTGTGTGGAAATGTAGATTTAATAATACATTATTTCAGGATAATTCTTACATTGTGCACATTAAAAAACAAACTTCTGTTGAATCAATTTATCAAACACTAACTATCACCAGAGGGCACACATTCATAAGGGAAGGCAAGGTTATTTATATGGCCCATTTCAGACACCAAGGCAATTCAAAGTGAACTACATTCTGGTTCTAACCCTGTGGACGGGGAGCAGACCTGTCCACAGGTAATATAGGAGCTCTATGGCTCGAAACGCATGGCCCAGAACCATTCAGTGCTTTGTAAGTCAATACTTTGAAATCCATTCTTTGATGCGCCGGAAGCTCTTGCAAAGCTCTGAGACCTGGGATGATGTGTTCCACTTCCTTAGTTTGTAGTGCTGGATTCAGGTAGCAGCATTATAAATAAACTGCAGTTAACTGATTGTTTTAACAGAGACCAAAGACACTGTTAGAATAATCAAGTCATGTAAAAAGAAAGACATCAACGAGTTTCTTTGTGGAGGCTGCCGGTACCTATTCAAATAAATTGAATTGATATTGAATCGAAATGGAATAGATTCAACAAAGAAGTATAAACCAAAAGTCTTGTTGTAAAACATTAGTGCTTTATGTCATACTATATTTTCAACTTGATAAGAGGCTGATTTGGTTCAATTCAATTCAGATCTACACTATTTCTGACATGGTTTCAGGTCTTAAACATTAGAGCACTGATAGTGAGTCATTCCTTCTTGGTGTCAAAAATAATAATTTCAGTTTCATCCATATTTAATTAGATAAATTCCGACATACATGTCCTATTACTGATGTGTTTAATGCTCTTATTCAGGGACTGCATTGGTCCATAATCATCTTGGTTTATTGTTATGGAAATCTGTGTCATCCACTGAAATTATGGGAGGATATTTTGTCATTTTGCAAGATGTGAGCTAGCTGGAGCATATAGATGTTGAATAGAAGTGGACCAAGAATGGAACCTTGGGGAACTCCACATATCATTGCTGTTGTTCAGATTAGTAATACCCAACTGACACATTATACAGTGCTGCAGGAATGAGTCCTAAAACTCAGACACTAGTCAGCATTCTTGCACTTCCGGTGCCATAATCTCAAAGTCAATGGGATTCTTGAATGTGTTTTTGGTTTGATGTCTGGAATTAGGTCTACAGCGGTTAACACAGGCGGAAGAGATTTTAACAAGAGTCTAAATGAGATGACTACATGTCATCACTAGAACACTAGTCCTCCTTTAGCTCAGTGGTGGTGACATGAAACCATGTGACCGTGCTGGAGTTCCTTTATAGCCTAACATTAGCTTTTTGGCGATTGCAATCACATTTAAATATAGCAAAAGTGGAGTTCATATGTGAAAATGATCTTGCTGAAGAAAATAAAAATGGAAAAAGGTCTCATAAACATGTGTTTGCTACAGGGTTTATTTTCTGAATGAGATAAAATTCAATGGCTCTGGCAATGGTTGGTCCACAAAAATATGTCACCCCTGCAATACTAGCGAAAGGGTATCTCTGGGCTTTGGTTTAACTGTAACATAGCTGCTATATGATGCACTGTTGCACACACAACTATGGAGCTATAAAGTAATGTGGAAATTATATTTCAGAATAATGTGTTGAGTTTTAAGGATTTCTTAAATTATTTCACAAAATCATTTCAAGTTAATTTATATATTTTGCACAATTTATTCATAAGATTATTTATTTCATAATGCCTTTGTTTCATTCACACAACAGATGCATTTACTTAATAACTATGGTATTGAAGTAAAGGAAATCACAAATACTGTGATCTTTTACAATCTTCCTCATAACAGTGAGGATTAACTGAGATTGCACTAATACATCTTACCTGGACAAATGGCCTTAGTATAGAACCTAAATTCGATAAAAATCTACAAATTTTCTATGTTTAAAAGATTCACTCTCTGATTTAAATCTCTTTCCTCTCTGATGATGCTGTGAAGCTCATCTGTGAACTGATGTATTGGTTCAAGAAAGGAGCTGACGGAACACATGAATTCATAGTGTTTATCTGGTGGCTCATACCAATCTCTTCCTGAATGGCCCATGGACATCTTTGTTGTCCTTCTGCTTTCAGCTGGAGGCCATTGTGGTGGACATGCAGGATCCCAACAGTGGGGTCAAGGGCTCGGAGCAAAAACTCAACGTCAATACCATCCCACATGTCATCACTGGTGAGACTGAGACACACACATTCACAAAGCCTGAGAAAGTTGCTAAGACTCTAAAAATATTTATTACATAATATTTGTCCCAAGTAATGACAGCATATGACAGTGTTTTTACAATCTGCATACTAACGGCTTCATAGGGTGCTACAGCCAAATCAGCATCTGAAAAGCTGCTCTTAAATCCTTTTATATTAACAATGTATCTAATAGCTAATGATGGTGATGCAGAGTAGAGTTTTTGTAGCCTCCTTTAGCATATAGCTTTAACGTATAGCTTGGGTGTTGCAGCTCCTAAAATGAAACAGCAGATTGGCAGACACCAGCAAACCATCTAGTCAAGTCAATTCTATTGATATACTGTAGCCAAATATCACAAATTTGCCTCAGGGGCCTTTATTATATTTACAGCTTACGACACACTCTGTCTTCAACCCTTGCAGCAGATCAGAAAAATGTAACCAAAAGAAAAAGTTCAAGAGGGGAAAAAATGGAAGAAACCTGAGGAAGAGCAACTGACCAGGGATGAGGGGTTTAGGGTTTAGAAGGTTAGGCACAAAATAGATGAATTCCTCTTTCAAATATATCTGTGTTGTTTTGTTTTTAATATCAATATTTTGATACATATTTTAATGACAGCATACTTTTATTCCATACCTATTGACTATGATAATTTGTTCATCAAACCGTATTTGCTGTTTACTTGTGAATCCACCTGATTTGAAATGCCACAAGAATGAAAAAGAACAAATAATGAAGAGAAAAAAAAAGATAAATCTTCCATTATTGCGTCTTTGGTCCCATTGGATTGGATTGATTTGTTATTTGTAACTTCAATGACCTTATTTACTGACCCTTCACTCTATCAGTTCCTAGAACGAAGGCTAAAGATGGTTGAGCAAAACTCCAATAGATTCACAACACTTTGTCATTGCATCATTTAAAGACTGCATGAAGACACTGGCAGGCTGCCTGCTGTCTAAGCTGCTAACAGGCTAAATAAGGCAGTCCACAATTGGATGAGCACTGGACTGTGCTTTGGGGCCAAAGTGGCTTTTTAATCCAATCTATAAGCGCAGCGAGGGAAAGGTCAGCATGCATACACGGGA